GGGCGCGGCCGGGAGCCTCCAGCCCCCTCTGCTGTGCCCCCCCGCCTGCTTCTCGCCCCCGCCGTGCCTCCGCGCGCCGTGTCGGCCCTGCATGCAGCATGCGCTGGTCCGCGTCCGCTCCGCAGGGCTCGGTGGCTGATGGCCGCGCTCCCGCTGGACTAACCTGATGTTGTTTGTGTGTTCCAGTCGCTTGGTTTTCTTTCGATCCTTCCTCTGCCCACGCTGACATCATCTTTTCTAATGACAACCTGACTGTCACCTGCAACAGCTACGACGACAGGGTCGTGCTGGGGAAAACGGGCTTTTCCAAAGGGCTCCATTACTGGGAGCTGTCAGTCGATCGGTACGATAACCACCCTGACCCGGCTTTTGGTGTGGCACGCATCGATGTCCTCAAGGATGCCATGCTGGGCAAGGACGACAAGGCTTGGGCCATGTACGTGGACAATAACCGGAGCTGGTTCATGCACAACAACTCGCACACCAACAGGTACGTGGTCTGGAACGTGGGGTCTGCCTCCCAGAGACCACAGCCCAGGGAAGAGCCCAGGGCTTTTCCAGTGGCACATACAGGCACCCACGGCAAGGGTGACATCACTCCTCATCGCCTCTATTAGAGGATGTCCCAAAGGGAAGGACATTCCCTGCCTCCTTGGTTCTGCCTTGCTCCAACTCTTCCTTCCCTGCCCACTGCGACTCTCCTCAAGGATGCACAGCACCGCTCCTCTGTGTCACCCCCTTCCCATTAACACCCAAAGCCTTGCAGCTCATGCACAAGAAAATAATGTTTGCTTTTATCCCTGTGCCACACTTCTGGCTTGCTTCCCCCGCGGGCCAGCGGAGCTGGGGGCTTGGAAGCTTGCGGTGGCCTGAGGAGATCCCGGTGTCACCTTCCTGCAGCCTCGGGGCTGTTCCCTGATGGGTCAGCAGGTGGAGGGACAGGACGAGGGGGAACAGTTTGAAGCTGGAAGAGGGGAGATTGAGATGGGATCTGAGGAAGAAATGTTTTCCTGTGCGGGGGGTGAGGCAGTGGCCCAGGGTGCCCAGAGAAGCTGTGGATGCCCCATCCCTGGAGGGGTTCAAGGCCAGGCTGGATGAGGCTTTGGGCAACCTGGGCTGGTGGGAGGTGTCCCTGCCCATGGCAGGGGGTGGCACTGGATGGGCTTTAAGGTCCCTTCCAACCCAAACCACTCTGTGATCCCATGATTCTATGGTTGTGTTGCTGTGGCTGTTCTGGTCAGTAGCTTTGCCCTTGGGGACATCACAGCAAGTGGGGAGCACCTCTGCGGGAGGCCTGAGGAGGTGCCCAGGGATTTGTGAGCATGGCTGGGATGGGTGCGGGTCATGGCCTGGCTCCTGGGCGAGCTGGGAAGTTCAGCATCGGGAGCCCTTGAGGTCCATGGGCTGAACCCTGTGCCGGGAGCACGAGGGACATCAAGCCACGGCGACACTCTGATCTTCTTCTCACCCCACAGAACCGAGGGCGGGATAACAAAAGGCGCCACGGTGGGAGTGCTGCTGGATTTGACCAGGAGGACCTTGACGTTCTCCATCAACGAGGACCAGCAAGGGCCTGTCGCCTTCGAGAACTTGGAGGGTCTCTTCTTCCCCGCGGTCAGCCTCAACAGGAATGTGCAGGTACCTCTGACCACGCTCTCCAGAGCACCACGGCAGCACGGGGACTTTGTGGGGCGGGGAGGGCTCTTGTGCAGCAGGGGTGGCTTGGAAAAAGCTGAATTTACACCCTAAAGCACCTGTGAGTCTCTAAAATCAGGCCAGGCCTTCCCGCAGCTGCAGCTGCTGCCTCTGCTCCAGGTTTCTCCATCAGGGCTGATGAAGCTCCAGGGTTCTCCAGCCCTCCCCGGTGATGGGGTTGGACAGCTCCATTTTGTGGTACGACCCCATAGGACCTTCACAGCTCTCCCAGGACCCCAACAGGAGCATTACGAGGCAGGACACCTTTTAAAGCCTATTTTCCTCTGAGGAGTTTCAAACCCCTCTTCTCTCCCTCTCTCCCAAGCTCTCAGCTCTCCAGAACGTCACCCAGCGGTGGCTCCCTGGGCCGATCCGGTATTTTCATCTTTTATTTTTCTCCTCACTAACCTCCTCCCTGCTATCTTCTCCCCACAACAAGTCCCCCGTGTTCACCCAGCCTGGCTTGGGCACATCCACGCGACCACCGCTTGCACCTCCAGCACCGCCCAAGCGCCCGGGCACATCCTAGGACACGTTGCACGTCATGGGTGACCTCAGGGTGTCATTTTGTCACCGTCTTCTGCAGTGGATGCCAAAGGTGTCACCTCTGTGCAAGGGCAGCAAGTGGCCTCTATAAATTAGGGATCTATGGATCAGGGCGTGCTCTGCTGAGTTGTCCATCGGGATACAGGGCACGCTGCGCTGTCACCAAGGCGGTGACAGTTTGCCAGCAGCGCTGGGGCAGAGCTTGGTCGGTACCATCCCAAACCCTGGGAGCATCCCTCCTGGAGTGTCCCACCCCCAGGGTCTTGCAGGTAGGGGACTCTGCCCCGTTTGGAGAAATGTGCGACATGCCGGTGGTTAATTAGGAAATATTAAAGAAGCTCGTCTTGTCTGGGCTGGTTTTTGAGGTTTCTGTATTAATTCGATGTGGTAAAAACGTCCTGCTCCGTGATGGGTTTAATTCCAAGCACAGCCCTAAGAGATGAGCGCATCTCCGGAGCCCCTCTGATGTCTGACAGCTCTCTGGGCAAGGCAGAGCTGAAATCCCCCGACAACAGAGAGGTCCCATGGGATGCGGATAAAAGGCTGCGAATAAACCCGAGCCATTCATCATCCTGCTTCAAAGGTGGATGAGTAATTAAAAACTACTCTAATTAGGAGGGAAATAATTGTGTTTCAGACAAAGTTTTCTAGAAATCTGGAACTAAAGGGGAGAATGCTGCTGTTCCAATAAAAGAAGGAATTATGCTTTCTTCCCCCAAATTAAAATATTTGTGGAAGGACCTGAATTACCCATGCACCGCTGCTCCGTGCGTGGGTGGCTATTTGCAGGACCTCGCCCCTTGCCCACTCAGTCCATACGAGCGGGTCCTGCCCATATCCGTGCCCGTGGACCAGGGTTTTCCCAGTGCATCAGGGCTCTGCCCTCCTGGGGGATGATGTTGAGCTGCTGTGCTCCGAGCTGTCCCACCAGGCACGGAGGGACATGGCTGAGCCCCGTATCTCTCGTTGCAGGTGACACTGCACACCGGTCTGCCCGTCCCCGAATTCTACGCTTCGCGCTCGGCCATGCCTTGAGGATAATGCTCCTGGAGCCGGCTGCCTCTTCTTGGGGTGAGAGGAGCCAGCCCGATCCCTCCTGCGGGA